GATGCTCTGGAGACTATGTAGTAAACGAATGTCACATTTGTCTGAAGGCAGAAGGATCGGAGGGTGCCACTTAAACCTGAGCTGGCCTGGTGCTGTATAAACCCGAGAAAAGAGTGACTGAGTGAATACAGTTGTTTGAACTGTGAGCAAATGTTGCAGAACTGCCTGAGACTGTGAGAGAATAGCCAGTGTAAGCCAAGCTGATTCAAATAACTCAGAAGCCAGGGATGGGGGAACTAGATGCTAATAGCCAAGACAATGAAAAGGCCCTGAGGGCATTTTAGAAGTCTGGAAGGGTGCCCAACCCATCACAGACCCTGAGGCCAAGGAGAACTGAGTTTCTCTGGAGGACAGACATGAGGCACTGCTGCTCTCAGCAAACTGCTCCCTGCATCCCAGCCACTCTGGATGGAGCAATCCTGCCTCAGCACCTCCAAAGAGCAAAAGCCGAAAACCTTGGTGGTGTTCACATTGTGTTGTTTGCAGGCCAGCGGTATGTGAGAGCAGTGGAGGCATGGCAGCCTCCACCTAGATTTTGGAAGATGTATGAAAAGGCCCGGGGACTCAGGCAGAGACCTGCTGCAGGGTGGAGCCACTTAGGAGGTCATCTATGGAGCAATGTGGAGGAGAAAAATAGGGTCAGAGCCCCCACAGAGAACTCCCACTGAGGAAATGTCTAGTGGAGCCAGGACAGCAGGGCTACTGGCAGCATCCAATGCTGGCCTGGAGAAGCTACAGGCACCAGGCAGCTCAATGGGCTGCACTTGATGGAGCTGTAGGAGTGAGGTTGCCCAATGCTTTAGGGGTCCACATGCCACAGTGTGCTTAACGTTTGCCCTGTTTGGGTTTTGGATTTGTTTGGAGCCTGTTTTTCCTTTCTATTCCTCCCTTCTGGAATGGGAATGTGTACCCAACGTCAGTCCCACTGTATCTTGGAAGTAAGTAAACTTGTTTTTGACTCTTTACAGGTTCACAGCTGAAAGAAGTTTTGACTTTAGTCTCAGATGAGACTTTGGACGTTTCAGTTGGTGCTGCAACAAGCTAAAGACTTTCGGGAATGGGATGGAATGTGTAATATGTAAATATAAGTGTCATCCAAGCCTTAATAAGGTGGAGTCATGAGTTGTCAGGGGAGGATGGAGAAGTGCACAGACTTAGGAGAGTTCACCTCTGGGAGAATCTGCTATATCTCTGACACAATTGTAGAGTCACTCATTGTGCTGTTGTCACTCTCTGCAGCTCACCTCTTTGTTCTGAGACTCAGAGGTACACTGAAAAATATCAGAGCCTAGCAGGGAAGACTAGAAAAGTCACGCCTGAGAGAAGAGAAAATGGCAGGTGGGTACCTAGGCAAACCATTTATAGACTCTGTATTCAAATAAGCCTCCTTGAAGACTTGTCCTGATTGTATGAAAGGGAACACAGTGAGCCAGCTCTGGTTGGGTAATCGTGTTAGTGGCCATCAGTCAGTCAGAAAACAAATAAAAAATATATAAGGAGACTCTTTTATGAGTACTTGCCAAAGACCTCCACCTACAGCACATTTCACTTTAGGGAGTTCATTTTCACTTTTTAAAACTTCTATCAATTATTACTAACTGCAAAGCATAAAAATACAGACACGTGGAATAGCAGAAAATACAATTATGTAACAAAATCACAATCTAAGTTTAGATGTCCATTACTCATCTCATTGTATTTTCTCTCCTTTACCACTAGAGCTCTAGACAATTCTGCATGCCCTTTGGGGAATAGTATTCTATGGCACAGATATACCACATAAATTTTTTCTTCCACTAGTTGATGAATATTTGGGTTTCATTTACTTTTGGCTATTATAAATAGTGCTGCTATGAGCATTAACAAGACTCTTGGTGTGGCCATAGATTTTCTTTCTTGTTTTTTGTACATACCTGAGAGCAAAACTTCTGAGTAATATGGTGATTCTTTGTATATTTTGAGAAAATGCCCAGTTGTTTTCAAAGTGGCTGCACTATTTTACATTCTCATTTGCAATATATGACAGCTCCAAACACTCCACCTCTGTCAACACTTATTACTGTCTATATTACAGCTATTTTATTGGGTGATAATTATCCTTACGGTTTTGGTTTGCATTTCTAGAATCACTAACAATGTTGTACATATTTCCATGTACTTATTGACAATTTGCATATCATCTTTGTAGACATGTCTATTTAAAACCTTTGCCCTTTAAAAAAACGACCTAGTGCCTATTATTGACTTAAGAGTTTTTTGTATATTCTGAAATCTAGACCCTGCACAGATATATAATTTTAAATACTTTTCTCATTCATTGGCATGTCTATTTTTTCCATGGTATTGTTTAAAAACCTGTTTAAAATGTTACCAAGTGCAATTTTTAAAATTTATTTCCTTTTCTAGATTGTGAATTTGGTGTGCCATCTTTTAAAAAGTTACCTAATTTGTAATTACAAATATTTACTCCAATGTTTCTCTAAGAATTTATAGTTTTAGCTCCTACACACAAAGAAACCTGTTTTGAGTTTCTTTTGTGTGTGTGTGTGTCATGTGTGTAATTTTAGTAAGGAGTCTAACTTCATCTTTTTGCAAGTGGGTATACAGTTTCCCAGGACGGTTTATTGAAAAGACTGTTCTTTCCCCATTGAAATATCTTGGCATCTTTGCCAAAATTAATTTGCCATAATGAAAGTATTTATTGTTAGACCTTTAAACATATCCTATTGACCTACATGAATCTATTCTTATGCTAGTATCATACTGTCTTATTAAGGGTAATTTAAGGTAAGATATGTTATTGGGAAGTGTGAGTCATCCAATTATTTTTTCAACATTGTTGTATTATTTGCATTTTCATTTAAGTCTTAGGGAAATTGAGCTTGCCAATTTCTGTAAAAAAGCTGGAAATTTGAAGAAATGGCATTAAATTTTTAGATTTGTGGAATGCTGTGACCTTAACAGTATTAAATATTGTTAAACATTGAATGTCTATTTATTCAGTTTTTAAAATTTCTTTCAGCAATATTTTTCTTTTAATTTTTAGCATAAAGTCTTGCACTTCTTTTGTAAAACATTTCTAAAATTTGCTGTTATTATGAATGGAATTGTTTCTTTTTTAATTTCATTTTTAGATTATTCATTGCTAGCATAAAAAAGTATAGCTGAATTATGTATGCTGACCTTGATAAATTCATTTATGGGTATTAGCATATGTTACTAAATATCTTACAAAGTTCTATATATAACTTTAGGTCATCTGCAATTAAAGATGGTTTTACTTTTTCTGTTCCAATATGGATGATTTTATTATTTGTGTAGTATTTTTGTCTAATCTCTCCAGTTCAAAGTTAAACAAAGGGGTAAAATTGAACATTCCTGTCTTGTTTTCAAACATTGAAGTTAAAGCACCTAGTCTTTCACTATGGTGTATAATGTTAGGTGTAGGTTTTCTATAGATGCCCTTTTCCAAGTCTCAGAAGTTTCGTTCTATTCCTAGTTTGCTAGGGACTTTACCACAAATGAGCCCCAAAATATAAGGGTACATCAAATAGTTCAGGATATAATTTATAATTTATTTTTCCACAAAATTTATTAAGTATCTTCATATACCCACACATCAACAGTCAACCAAGAAAAGATCCATGACTTTTAACAAGGTATAAAGAGGCTTGATTTAATGTAAGAAATCCAAATTTGTCAGTACATTTATTATGCCAACTGTACATATTCAGTACCTATATTTATGCCAGATTCCACTAAAGAAAATTCCTGTTAACAAAGAACACTTATCTGCATGAAACCTACACACGTGAGAAGGCTGTTCTGTGCACTGCAGGCTGCGCTGAAGCATCCCTGGCACCTGCCCACTCGATGGAGTAGCAACTCCACTCATGACAACCAAAAACGTCTCCAGACATAGGCAAATGTCCTCTGGCAGGCAATATAACCACTTATGCTTAACTATTAGTAGCATACAGTCAAATATTTTTAAAAATAGTTTTGATACTATATTTAACTTTTCCAATTGAAAATTTGCATACATGCTACATTTGATAGTTTTAGCTTCATTTCAATTTCTGTGCTACACAAGAAACTTGAAATTTTGTTTAAAGTGTTGACATATTAAAGATATTTATGAAAATTTACTTTATTCTCAGCATTCAATAAGATGGTCCCCCATAAAGTGTTCCCAATGTGTTGCACTGTTTCTCCCCATGATTTGATTTTTCTGTAAATGAAGTTTGGGATAAAAGGTGACCATATGGGTTTCTCTCCTGCATCAACCTCATATACAAGAATAGGTAACTTTTCTCATAAATTTCATACAAAGTTAATTAGCTACAGTGGACTGGATGTTTTGTAATGGAAACATCACACATATAATGGCTGAACAATTTAAGTATTTATTTATCACTCACATAAAATACAAATGAGAGCTTCAGAATAAAAGTGAGAAGATCATCTCTGCTGTTATCAATTCCTTCTGTCTTAAGTCATGGTGGCCTTTCTCCAACCTATGGCTCCCAAGTTCACCCTGGAAGTCATCTGCACTTCAGCCCTAGAGGACAAATCAGGAAAAAGTGCATGGACTGTTTTTGTTGTTGTGTTGTTGCCAGGTCAGAAAGTAATGTTCATCACTTGTTTCCATATTCTCCTGAATAGAGCTTGGTTACATGGTCATGCACACAGTAACAAGAAGCTGAGTACGGGAGCCAGCCCGGTGGTGCACTCAGTAGAGTGCGGTGCTTGGGAGCGCGGCGGAGCTCCCGCCGAGGTTTCGGATCCCATATAGAGACCAGTCCGCTCACTGGTTTAGCGTGGTGTGGGCGCAACACCAAGGGTTGCGATCCCGTTGCCGGTTGCGGTACGGGCGTGACACTGAGGGTTGCGATCCCATTCCCAGTCACGAAAAAAGACAAAAAGGAAAAAAAAAAAGAAGCTGAGTATGCATGCTGTCTGTGCAAGAGACAGTGTTTTTTGGAAAATAAAAAAAGACAAAAAGGAAAAAAAAAAAAAAAGAAGCTGAGTATGCATGCTGTCTGTGCAAGAGACAGTGTTTTTTGGAAAATAAATAGCCAGTTTCTGCTATGCAGATTTTTGTCCTTATGTGAATTCTCTGATGTCTGCTTAGGTGTGACTTCTGAAAAAAGATGTTTCCACATTTATTAGTTAGCCTTCCATAAACAAGAGATCCACATCAGTGGATTCAACAAACCATAGATCAAAATCATTTGAAAAAAATAGGACAATAAAAACTATAGAAAAACCCCCTAATGTAGTTTTTGCATTGTATTCAGTATCATAAGTAGCCTAAACATCATGTTAGTTATATAGCAGAATGTTACACAAATGGTACATTTTATTTAAGAGACTTGAGCAGCCACAGATTTCAGTAGCCATGGCAAGTTGTGAAATGAATCAACTTTGGATACCAACAGAGAGCTATATATTCATAGGTTTTCTCTTTTATGTGAGTTCTCTGATGCATCCTGAAGTATGACTTCTGTTGAAAGGATTTTCCAATGTGTTACATTCATGGGGCTTTTCCAATATGAATGCACTCATGCCTAGTAAAGTCTGATTTCTGGTAGAAAGATTTCCTACATTCTTTACGTCATGTGGATTCTCACCTGTGTGAATTCTCTGATATTTGCTGAGGTTTCACTTACATTTGAAGATTTTTCCACACTCATACTCATAGGGTCCCTGTGTGAATTTGCTTATGTTTATAGAGGCATAATTTTTTGGTAGATTTTTCTATTCTTTACATTCACATGGTTTCTCACCTGTGTGAACGGTATGATGTACACTGAGGTCTGATTTATTTTAGAAAGATTTTCTGTATGTATTCCATTCACATGGTTTCACACCTCTGTGAGTTCTTTAATGTACACTGAGGTCTGATTTACTGTAGAAAGTTTTCTAACATTTTTACATTCATATGGTTTCCCACATGTGTGAATTCTCTGATGCTTGCTGAGGTTTGACTTCTTGTGAAAGGTTTTTCCACATTCAGTACATTCATAGGGCTTCTCCCCTGTGTGAATTCTCTGATGCTTGCTGAGGCTTGACATATGTTTAAAAGTTTTTCCACACTCATTACATTCATAGGGCCTTTCCTCTGTGTGAATTTTCTTATGTTTATTGAGATCTGAGTTATGGTAGAAAGATTTTCTACATTCTTTACATTCATATGGTTTCTCACCTGTGTGAGTTCTCTGATGTACACTGAGGTCTGATTTACTGTAGAAAGATTTTCTACATTCTTTACATTCGTATGGTTTCATACCTGTGTGAATTTTCTGATGCTTGCTAAGGTTTGACTGCCAATGAAAGGTTTTTCCACATTCACTACATTTATAAGGCCTTTCCCCTGTGTGAACTTTCTTATGTTTATTGAGGTCGGAGTTATGGTAGAAAGATTTTCTACATTCTTTACAACTATATGGTTTCTCACCTGTGTGAATTCTTTGATGTATGTTGAGCTGTGATTTACTGTAGAAACATTTTCTACATTCTTTACATTCATATGGTTTCTTACCTATATGAATTCTCTGATGCCTGCTGAGGTGTGACTTATCATGAAAAGTTTTTCCACATTCACTGCATTCATATGGTTTCTCACCTGTGTGAGTTCTTTCATGTACATTTAGGCATGATTTACGGTAGAAAGATTTTTTACATTCTTTACATTCATATGGTTTCTTACCTGTGTGAGTTCTCTGATGCCTGCTAAGGTTTGACTTCTTTTGAAAGGTCTTCCCACATTCACTACATTCATATGGTTTCTCACCTGTGTGAGTTCTTTCATGTACATTGAGGCATGATTTACGGTAGAAAGATTTTCTACATTCTGTACATTCATATGGTTTCTCACCTGTGTGAGTTCTCTGATGCCTGCTGAGTTTTGACTTCCTGTGAAAGGTTTTCCCACATTCATTACACACGTATATCTTCTCCCCTTTATGAGTCCTCTCAGGGAATGTAAGGGGTAATTTCTTCATGAACGATTTATCACATTCACTACATTTATAGGGTTTCTCTGCTGTGTGTATTTTCTGATGTTCAGTGAGTTTAGACTTTTTATAGATTGTGTTCCAACATACATCACACTGAAAAGTTTTCTCTAATACTGGACATATCTCATGAGCAAGAACAGATGATGTATGAAATTCTTTCCCATAATCAAATTTACAGGAGGTCTCTCCCATATGTATCTTCTTATTTGCCAATAATATTGGCTCTGTGCTGATGGCTTTCCCTTGTCCACTATACTCAAAAGGCTGCTGCTCAGCTTGAATCTTGAAATGCTGATTAATATGCTCACAATGTTGGCATAATTTCTCAGTTATACAGTCATCATCAGATTTCACTCCAGCATGCATCCAATCCAGCTCTCTAGGAGAAAGTGCATTCCAACATACATTACACTCTTCACACCTCAATCCTGAATAGTTTTCACTATTTGTAATCAGATTTGAAATGCAGTTTGAGCTCAAATAAAATGTTTTTTCTGACTCAACTCTCTCAGTTGATGTATTGCTGTTGGCAATTGCAACTTGCCACAGATCTGCACCATGACTTTCTTGGCTTTTTGTAATTAGACCTTCAAACATCCGGGCATCTAAAATAAGAAAAAAATAACCGTATTGCTTATGGAATGTGCATGTAAAGGTAAAGAAGTTTCTTCATATTCTCATGGCATAAAATTTTATTAAAATGAATAGTGTACTTTTTTTTATAAGTATATATTTTTCATACAAACTACCTTAGTGTAATAAATTATATTAACATATTTTCTAATGTTCCATCATGGGTTTCTTTTTGGCTTATTTTTTATTCGTAAGAAAATATTTGGTAAAATTTTCAACTACTGCCTAGTCATAGTTTTCAACCAAGTGCTTATCATCTGACATTTGTTTACCCTGTTCTCTATTTTATTCTTATGACAGCAGTGGGTAAGGGGCCGGCCTGTGGCTCACTCGGTAGAGTGCGGTGCTGATGACAGCAGTGGGTATTGCATAGTGTTCTTTTTCTTCTTATTCTGCTTTGAAAGTTGCGATGCTTTCCTGAATCAACTACTTTCATGTTCAGGAAGAAGCCAATCTTCTGTCCCTTAAACAGAAATTTTGCTTAGGTTCAGGAATTTGCACCTATATTTGTTTAGTTTTCATTCTTCCCTAGGAAATGGCTATAGGCCTGTGGAGATTTTTCAAATAAAAAATCTTTTCCCTGCTAGGTAAAGACAGCTTCCTACAACTTTCTTGTTTAACCTCACTGCCTCTGCTAAAGCTCCACTCTTTCACTCTGGGCACCCCCCATCTGTAGGTCTAAAACATTTGATTTTCAACCCAGGCTTAGCCCACAATCTTTGAAAATTTTTTTCAAGTTCCTTCTGAGGTCACTGGCATTCTCTCCCCATTTTCAGGTACACAAATCCTTGCTTTATAATTCACTGCTTTTGGTAGCTTTATTTTGTGCACTGAAGTTTTGGCTGTCTCCTGCTTTCACCAAAAATAAAGTCTTGTCCACATTTTTTACATCTTCATTGTTTTAGAATAATTTTCACAAAGAGAAGGAGAAAATGCTAACTTTACATCCCACTCGTCCCCACAAAACAAACAAACAAAAACAAAAAACAACAAACTGAGCCCCTCAACAAAAAATCCCTCGGTTCTTTTCAGCTTGGGACCAACAATCTCCTGATTCTCTTTCCAAGTCCAGTGACACTCCGTTCCAGGCTCCTACGCTGTGTCCTCAGCTTCATAATTTCTTATTCATAGTACAAAAGGCTCACTTCTGGGTCTTTCTCATTTCCTTATCAACTCCCTAGGTAACCTCCTCTATATCTTCAAGAATCACCTTTATGCCATGAATTTTCCAAATTTGTACCTCCAATAGTGATGTCCACTGTAAAATGTAGATTTTATACTTGGGCATGAATTATATATCTTTCTCATTTCCTTATCAACTCCCTAGGTAACCTCCTCTATATCTTCAAGAATCACCTTTATGCCATGAATTTTCCAAATCTGTACCTCCAATAGTGATGTCCACTGTAAAATGTAGATTTTATACTTGGGCATGAATTATATTTCTGTTTCTCTCACTCTGGTTACATATTCCTCATGATTCCAATACAACCACTTAACATATATAATTTTCTTGTTTCTCACTCATCATAATGTCAACTCTATGCAAGAGAGACATTATTTAGATCATTGCTGTATAAAATTTATACTGCTTAAGATGTGTTTAAAAACAAGTGTATAAATAAACATCTGTGCTATAGTTTAAATGTTCCCCCAAAACTCATATTGAAACTTAATCATCATTGTAACAGTGTGAAGAGTACGGGAAGTCTAACTATGGTAAGGTGAGGCCTTTGAAGGTTTTTAGATAGTGAAGGCTATGCCCTCTTGAATGGATTAATCTATTCATGGAATAATGGGTTAATGGCTTAATGGGTTATCAGGGAGTAGTTTGGTGGCTTTATACAGCATGTGGACACATGTTTGCCAATCTCTCCCTCTCACCTTGTGATACCCTGCACCACCTGTGGACTCTACTGAGAGTCTCCACAAGCATGAAGACCCTCACTAGATGAGACCCCTCAACCGTGGACTTCTCAGCCTACATAACTGTAAAAAATAAATTTTGTTTACTTATAAAATGACCAAGTTTCAGGTATTCAGTTACAAGCAAAACAAACAAACAAAACCAAAACCAAAATACATAGAATAAAAGAGTCTAAAGAAAAATGCCCATGACAACAGAGAAAAAGAGAACTACTAAGAATACTGATAAAGTTCACAGCAAAGAAAAAGGTCTAAAAAAAGAAAGGTAGAGATTCGTTTTGGGGAAGTATATGAAATATACATTAAAATAAAATGTGGGTGTGTAAGTGTGAGAGCCCTCTTGGGAGATTATACAATGCATGAGTTTCTAAGCAGTCTAGCTGTTCTCATGTCTGAAACCTAGCAAAAATATTGGTAAAAACAGATGGACATGACCAACATCTATTGGGCTTTACTCTTCCCAGCATCAGTGCCCAGTACGAGCTTACCTTGTAGGCTCTGGTTTGGGGGTTCTTCTATCACCCATGGCTCTGCTTCTTGCTCCAACCTGAAGATCACCTCAGGTTTGGTAATGCAGTGCCCTTTAATGGAAAATAACAGAGGACTTTGCAAAATTGCTAAGTCAGATCCTTGGAAGGATGACAAGAGCTCATCTTAAGATGCTGTGAAACGACAGGGTCAATTTGAACCTTTCATTAGAGAGGGATGACACTCACATTCTTTATGGAATAAAATCTTACCTAAATTCGATTAAGTCTTATAAGTGGTTCCTATATTTACCATAAAAGAATAAAGTGTTGCTCCTGACACTTACTGAGGCATTTCACTCACCCAATGACACCAGGTTGCTGTAGGTCTCTAGCATCACATCCCTGTACAAAGTCCTCTGAACATCACTGAGGTTCTGCCACTCCTCCCAGGTGAAGTCCACAGCAACATCCTCAAAAGACACAAACCCCTGTAAAAGCACATTTCTCCTCAAAAAACAGTAATAAGGCAGTCCACAATTCTGTGTGTGAGTGTTTCATATGTATCTTACAAAAGGTACAGCTTCTTTGTATTACACAATGTGGAAGAAATCACAACAGGAATATTCTACAACTGTAATAATTTGTTAATTACAAACAATACTGCTAAAGTGCTCTTTATACATCTGGAACCATCCTTCTGCTACAGATAAAAGTATGAATAAAATTCTAGTCCTCCAAGGACCCTATGAAGACATAAGTATAAACTCATATCTGAAAAAAATGTGTTGGGTGAACTAATTTAGACCCAACCCAAATTCAATATAGACTGAGGAAAGAAAGAATGAGAAACTATAGTTCTATTTTGTATCCAGTTTGCACTCCATTGAAATGCCAAAGATGCTTATCCCTTCCATGGAAAGAATGTGTTCTTGTAAATATGGGGAAACAGCAAAAGTCCAGTCAGAAGTCCACAAACAACACACACCACATTAATGCTACTATGCAAAGTACTGTCTATGTGATGAGATAAACACAATTTGACCTAAATCAAACACCAAAAAGCTTATACACTCATTGATTTTAAATTATTTCAAAATTAAAAGCATACCAAACATTTCCAATTTTTCTTTCTACATGCAAAAAAATTGCTTGTGTCCACCCCAGGGTAAACACTGCCACTTTCCAAACCACAGGGTGTAAATAATGAGGTTGTGTAGGAAAGGGTAAATTACATAACCAGATTTTCACTTAACAGTCATCCACTAGAAGGAAAATGGTTCAGGTGCTTAAGGGAGAGTCCAAGGGGAAGAAGACAGTAACAGATGACAGGACACAGAGCAGTAAGCATACCGAAGAGGGAAGTAATCCTTTAAAAGGGAAGAAAAAAAAGTAAATAAAAAAGCAAGAACTAAATCTGGTTCTAATTTGCTGTGCAGAAATTAAAATAAGAGTTTTATTCCCAGGTTGTCTACATGATTGCAGCTACTCAGGAACTAGCACTGTAAAGTAAAACTTGGAAAATTGGGGAAAAAAACTAAAAAGGCAGAAGTGACACAGACTTGAACACATTATATATTAAAATATCTGTGAAAATGTCCAAATGGCAATTAGATATATAATTTCAGTGTTTAGGAGAGATATCTAAACCGAAGATAAAAATATGGAAAATAGAATTTCAATGATACCTTAAACGATCAGAGTTAATGAATCTATAACATTAAATTTTTTTAAATGTAGGGAATCTGCAGAAACACTAATATATAAAGATAGAAGAGAAATAGACTGTGAAGACAAGGAAAAATTTTTCTGAATTTCATTAATATAGGAAAGCTCGGTATTAAGAAGTCTACCAATAAAATTGATCGTTTCCATAGTTGTATAAAGAAAAATCCTTTGATTACCTAAATAGTAAGAAGGTACTTTTAGAAATACATTACAGGTTTCTATTCCTTCACAAAAAGCTTGAAAATCATCACTCCATTGTAACAATAAATATAAAGCTGAAGAGACTGAAAAATCAACAACTCATCTTGGAACCATAAGAGAGAAAAGGACACAGAGCAAACTGTTACCCCCCAAATTAGAGAGGCAGACAGTCAAATATATGGAGTAATGCCTTACAAGAGCAAAGACCTACTCCGTTTTATTGGAAACCACCATGGGAACCAGTGTAAGAGCAGGAAAACTTGAATTGTGACTGACAAATTAATGGAGGCTCAGTGTAGACAACTCTGAGTATTAAAATTCCAGGAGACCCAGTCACAGACAGGAAACCACAGTACTGTGAAATTCACCATCAAAAGCGTGAACAGGTTCTTACAGTTAATAAAAAAAACCTCCCCCGTTTTCACCTGCGAGAAGAAAAAAGGCAAAACATTTTTAAATATGCCAGAACACTCCGTTGTTTATTCATTACCTACACTCGGATATTTTGTTATATAAGTCCAAACAGACTAAGAGAGCTCACCCTTCTTCAGATCACCTTCTCCACAGCTTACCACCACATTGCTGAATGCGTATTTATAGTATTTTTTTTCCCCTGGTGCATCGTGTCTGGCTATAAAGACTAAAAAAAATTACAAGGCATTCTAAAAGACAAATAAGTAAATAAATAAATAAACAAACAAACAGTTGGAAGTGACAGAGCAAGCATCAGAAAAAGACATGACTAGGATGTTAAAATTATCAGACAGGGAATAAGCTCAAGATTTGAATGGATAAAGCACACATTACTCAAGAACAGTTGGACAATGTAAGCAGAGATACAAGTCTTAAGAAAAAAACAAAACGAACAAACCAAAAACAATACAGCAGATCAAAAACACTCTAACTTAAATAAAGAATGTTTTTAAATGGCTTATTAGTAGACTGAACAAGACTGAGAAAAGAATCTCTGAGCTTGAAAATACATCAATGGAAACTTCAAAAACTGAGAAGCAATGAGAACAAAGACAGGAAAGTACAGAACATAATATCCAAAGACTGTGAGAAAACCATAAAAGTTTCCTATAGAATAATGTACCATAGAATAATGAGAACACCAGGAAAAAAATCAATGGAAACTTCAAAAACTGAGAAGCAATGAGAACAAAGACAGGAAAGTACAGAACATAATATCCAAAGACTGTGGGAAAACCATAAAAGTTTCCTATAGAATAATGTACCATAGAATAATGAGAACACCAGGAAAAAACAGAGAGAAAGAAACAGAAGAAAAATTTGAAATAATAATGCCTGAGAACTTCCACAAATATCAGACACCAAACCAAAGATCCAGGAAGCTTAGATAATACCAACCAAAATAAATGCCAAAAATCTACACCTAAGCATATCATTTTTAAACCACAGAAAATCAAAGATAAAAAAAAAAAAAATCCAAAGAGAAGCCAGATTGGGTGGAAAAAAAATTAAAGAAGAAATAAGTGGAGGTAAAATAAAAGCTTTTATTTTTCTTATTCTTAATTGATCTGATAAAAAGTTGTACCAATAATAGTAGTAACAATGTATAAAATTATGCATGCTTTTACATACACACCCATGTAACATAGTTTTACTTATACACAAGCGTACATAACTAAGTCACAAAAATGGTATGAGAAACAGGAAGATGAGAGGAAGAAAACAGAATGATTCTGTTGTAATAAGCAAGTTACACTGCTGGTAAAGTGGTACAGTGTTACCTGAAAGTGGACTTAAATTAGCTATAAATATATATTTCAAATTTTAGGGGAAGCAGAAAAAACAAAACAAAACAAAAAACTTTTTGAAAAAGTACAACTGTAAAAAGAAAGCTCAGAAAGCAGAGAAAATGTAATCCTATATAAAATGGTCCATTAATACCACAAAAGGCTGCAAAAGAGCAGGAGACAAGTAGACAGAAAGAAATAATTAAGATCAGAGCAGAACTAAATGAAATAGACTCCAAAAATGATTTTAAAAAATCAACAAATCAAAAGTTGTTTTGTTGAGAAGATAAATAAAATTCACAAGCCATTAACTAGGCTAACTAAAAAAAGAAGAGAGAAGACACAAATAACAAAAATTAGAAACAAAAAAGGTGATATTACAACTGATACCTCAGAAATACAAGGAATCATTAGAGAATACTATAAACAAATATACACCAACAAATTTGAAAACCTGGAAGAAACGGACAAATTTCTGGACACACACAGACTACCAAGACTGAACCCAGAAGACACAGAAAATCTGAAGAAACCAATAACAATAAAAGAGACTGAAGCTGCAATCAGCAGTCTCCCAACAAAGAAAAGCCCAGGACTGGATGACTTCACTGCAGAATTCTACCAAACATTTAAAGAACAATTAATACCCATTCTATACAAACTATTCCAAAAAATTGAAACAGAGTCCATTCTCCCAAACTCATCCTACAAGGCAAACAACACCCTGATATCAAAATCACAAAAACATAAAACAACAAAAAAAGAAAACTACATGCCAATATCTTTGATGAATATAGATGCATGAATTCTCAATAAAATATTAGCTAATACAGCAACACATATATAAAATTGTACACAATGACCTGTAGAGATTTAAAAATACTGACTCTCATTTGATTTTTAGTATAGTTTTTAGGTAATGCATGTATGGTATGAAAGTCTTCCACTAGGGGGCAAAAGCCCACAGCTAGCAGGCAATGGCCCATCTAATCAACGCTAATCACTGTTTAGGTATGGGATTGTATACTTTAATGATTTTAAAATTAATAGGTGGCTGTCATACCAATCTCATTAAGAGATTTTAAAGAATTGCTGTAGGGAAATATGTGAGAAATATTTGCTGAAGGGAAAACTTTTTGTTAATGGAAACTAAAGATACAATCACAGAATCATAGGAATGTAATGACTGTTTTAGCTCTTATAAAAATAGTTATATTTTAAGTTAAGGATAATGATCATAGTGTAACTAGCTTAACATTTCACTAATTATACTTTGGAATATCACACTGTTAGTTTTAATGATGTTACTATGTTCCATTGTTTAAGCTATACTTAGCTACAGATAACTTTTGTCATGTTGCCCATGTCTTGGTGTCCTTTTGAAATGATTGAATTAACTGATTTTTCTTGTGAAACTTCCTTGTCTTTACAATGAAAACAGAAACTAACTTTGAATAAGGGCTATACCCAGTTTCTCCTTCTAACAGAGGAGTTCCTGAGATGCAGTCCTTTGGGCTTTTCATAGCATTCACATTGCTTTGAGTAATCTTTTTTTCATCTCCATTACATGGTGAGAAGTGTAACAATGATCAAGTGGGATTCATCCCATGGATACAAGGTTGGTTCAACATATGCAAGTCAAGAAATCTGATACACCACATCAACAAAATCAGACAAAAATCATATGATCATCTCTATACAAGCTGAAAAAGCACTTGACAAAATTCAACATTTGTTCATGGTAAAGACTATAAATTAGGTACAGAAGGAAAGTATCTCAACACAATTAAGGCCATATATGA